AACCTGCGCACTTAGCCGCTGCACCACCAGGTCGGCCCCTACACTTTTTTTGTGTGTGTGAGGTCATAACATTAATGTCTGTTTCTTGTGAAGAGTATTTTTAATATCTTCTCTTTTAGCAATTTACAAATATACAATACAGTATTGTCAACTATAGTCACCATGCTGTATATTACATCCCCAGAACTTATTTATCTTAAAACTAGAAATGTTTATCTTTGAACCATAATGCACTTTTTCACAGTTTATGTTTAAAGAGTGAGGGCCAAGATCACAGACAATTGAGGGATCTCAACACCTTGTACACAAAACCGAAGTAATGTTGTCAATGGTTATAGCATTTATTTGGGATTTAACAAAGAACCTCTCAAATCCTAGTCACAAAACTTGAAAATATCTTTTAAAGTTCTGTGGTTCAATAATGTACTCATCTCAGTTTAGAGTTTTAAAACTCATTCCTGCTAAATGAGAAATGAGTAACCAAAAATGAAAGATTGTAACCTAAAGACATTGTGTGAGTTTTCAATAACAGAGAGTAAGAAAAATTGAATCTTAGCATAAAAGTAGGACTCCCAACACAAAGCCCATATTCTTGTATGTTGCATATCTTTAAATATCAATCTTTAGTATGAAAGGTATCTGCATTTTCCTATGCATGAGAAATGTCTTCCTTGCAAATGCCCTTCTGAATGAATCCTTCACCTCTTTGTTTCTCAGGCTTAGATGAGGGGTTTCAATATGGGAATCTTTGCCATGTAGAACACAGAAACAAGTTCACTGATGTTGAGGGGGAAACTACAACTTGGACATGCATAGATAAATAAGAGTCTCCCATAAAGGTTGGAGACAGCTGTCAGGTGTGAAGAGCAGGTAGAGAAGGCCTTGTGCTTCCCATCAGCAAAGTAGATTCTCAAGATACTGATGACAATGTAAAATGTAGGAGAACAAGATGATCACACCACTGAGAACTCATAGACCCCCAGCCAAGGTTAAAATTAAAACCTGTTTGGCTTGGGTGGCTGCAAATGCCAGGGAGAGAACAGGAAGACGATCACAGAAGAAGTGATTGATGATATTGGGGCCAAAGTAAGGCAGGTGAAAAGAAAAAGTTGTATTGGTCATGGCACTTAGAAGATCCACCCTGGGGTTAGCCCCATGGCTGAGTTTTTAGGTTTGTACACTCTCCTTAGGTGGCCCAGGGATTTGCCACTTCAGATCCTGGGTGTGGACTAGCACCACTCATTAAGTGATGCTGAAGTGGCATCCCACATAGCAGAACCAGAAGGATCTACAGCTAGAATATACAACTATGTACTGAGGGTGCTTTGGGGAGAAGAAGAAGAAAAGACTGGCAACAGATGTTAGCTCAGGTGTAAATCTAAAAAAAAAAAAAAATGACCCATGGTAGAAAGCCCTACCACCAGCTGCCCTCAGACCCACTGGGACAGAATGAGTGTAGACAACAGTGTCTTGCAGAAGACCATATACCGATCATATGCTATGGAAGCCAGGATGAAACATTCAGTCACAGCAAAGTGAACAAAAAACATAACTGGGAAGCACAACCAAAGAAAAAGAAGGTCTTTTTCTCCATAAAGATGTCAGTCTACATCTTGGGACCAATAACAGAAGAGGAGCACACATCCACAAAGGATAAGTGATGAAGAAAAAAGTACATGAGTGTGTGGAGCCAGGAGTCCATCCAAATGAGAGTGATTAACCCCAAGTTTCCCGGAAGACAGATGAGGTAAATCAAGAGAAATACCACAAAGAGGACAGCCTGGTGCTAGAAGTGATGTGTCAAGCCCACAAAAGACAACAACAACAAAAATACTCAATCACCAAAGTTTGGCTTCCATAATTAATTTGTCTGATTTAATCTGTCATGAGAAAAAGAAAAAAAATGTTCTTTGCAACTAATTCATAAGTAAATGTTTCTTAATTCTAAATCTGCATTTAACTTCTATTTTTTTGGGTTAAATAGGATAGCCTGACACCTAATTCTCTTGAGTTCTATTCTTTGCATCATGCTGTCTATCTACAAACTATATGTGTGATCCTGAGTAAGTCACTAATCCTCATAGGGGTCTTCTGTTTCTTCCTTGGAAACAGGATTTTTGAATAGAATAAGAGAACTTTAATCTAGTAGCGAACATTGGGGATTATCTAAAACAAGTTCTCTAATTGTGCCAGTTTATATTTCTGAAACTATTAACCTTTGAACAAAAAATATTTTAAGAAACACTTCATTGAAAAAGGTACTATGAGAATTCAATGAATTCAGACTGATACCTATTCTCACTGCAGATTAAGGGTAAACAGGTGTTCAAGATGTAACTTCCTCCCCAACTCCTTAGATTCTATAGGAATATTTAATTGAGTTGTCTAAAACATATTTTTGATGTCTGAAGAAGGAGAGAAAGCTGAGATAACACAAGGTAGCTTTGTAACAGGGTTCAAAATCCTCAAAAGTGCAGATCCTCTGTGTATCCTTTCCCAAAATGCCTATGTTCCCTCTTATCCAGTCAAACTCCATTAAGCTAGTCAAACTCCATCAAAGTTTTAAGTCCATCAAAGAAGAGCCCAGTTCTTAAATAATGAATAGGTGTGGCGACCCACTTAGTGTTTTTAGGTGCTTGAGAGAGAAATATAAATATTTTAAAGATGACAGAGTGCACCCCTGGGCAGTTATCCCAGAGAAATGAATATTTATGTCCACACAAATAAACCTGTACAATTTTGTTGAAACAAGCTTCATGTATAATGCCGAACATTTGAAGTAACCAAAATGTCCTACCATAGGTGAATGGTTAGACAAACTGTGGTATATCCATACTATGGAATACTATTCAGTAATAAAGAGAAACAAATTGATACATGCAACAACTTGGATGCATCCAAGGGTATTAGATTCAGTTGAAAAATGTCAATAAAAAATTTCAATATAAAAATACACTGTTTCCCTTACAGTCAGTGGACTAAATTTAAATACCTTTTAAAGAAGGCATTCAAAATAAGACAGTGTGGATCTCAGTGAATCTTACAATTGTACAAAACATGGTTTGTCCTCTTATTTCCTGTATTTCTTGCTATCTTCCAGAAAATAAAACACCAAATTATGGTTGAAAGGATATTGTACCTGGAGAAAACAAAAGTGTGGGACCCAAATATGAGGTCTTAGAAATCCATAAATTCCTCATGGCTGTCAGGGTCATTATGTATAAAAATAGTATTAATGTCCTATATATGATATAAAAATCAATAAATAACAATGCTAATAACCAACACTTTATTAAAGAACTGCAATACATTTTTGCACTTCAAAAGCAAAAATCATGTAATTACAGTGGCAAAATCCCAACAAATTATTACTCTGAGCAGAGAGTATAGGGGATATAAAAGGCCTTTGTAAAATATCTATTCCAAATGCAAAGGTAGTATCAGAGAGTGCTATGGTTACATGCTTCTTGAATAATTCACTTTTTTAACAAGAACATAAAAAGATGTTCAACATCACTAATTATTGGAGAAATGCAAATAAAAATCACAATGGGATAACACCTCACACAATAAGACTGTCTGTCACTAAAAAGACAGGAAATAACAATTGTTGGAAAGGATTTGGAGATAGGAGAATTGTCATAGACTGCTGTTTGAGATGTAAATTGCTGCACTCACTACAGAAAAGAGTGTGGAAATTCCTCTAAAAATTAAGATGGAAATAGCATATAATCCAGCAATTCCATTTAAGGATATTTATCCAAAGAATAGAAAAACACTAACGCAAAAAGATATAGGCACCCCTATACTGCAGCATTATTTACAGTAGCCAAGATATGGAAACAACCTAAGTGCCCATCATGTTGAATGGATAAAGCAGATGTGGTATATGCATATAATGGAATACCACTCAGCCATAGAAAAGATGAAATCCTACTGTTTGTGACAACATGAATGGACCTTGAGGGTGTTATGTTAAGTGAAAAAGTCAGTTGGAGAAAGACAAATGCCTTAAGATTTCACTCATATGTGGAAGATAGAAAAACAATGACAACAAACAAATACATAGATGTAGAGAACAGATTGGTGGTTACCAGAGGATAAGGGAATGGGAGGAGGGCAAAAGGGGAAAAGGGAGACATTGAACAGTGATGAATGGCAACTAGATTTGGTAGTGAACATGATGTAGTATACAGAAGTCAAAATATAATGGTACACACTTGAAACTTGCATAAAGTTATAAACCAATGTTACCTCAATAAAAAACTAAATAATAATTCACTTTTTCTCCAGTTGTATTAATACTATGTAATAGACACAGAACATTTCATTAGTCCAAGGTGTACAAAATAACGATTTGATACATGTATATATTGCAAAATGATTACCACAAAAAGTTTAGTTAAGATGAACCACTTAAAGTAGCTACAATTTGTTTTCTTGTGAAGAAAACTTTTGAGATCTACTCTTTTAACAACTTACAAATATAAAATAAAGTACTGTAAACGATATCTACAATTCTGTACATTACATTCCTAGAAATTATTTATCCTTTAACTGGAAGTTTTTGCCTTTGGACCATACTAGATTTTTAATAGTTTATGTTTAAAGAGAAAAGATCATGTTCAAAGACAATTGAGATATCTCAACACCCTGTAAGCAGACCAGACGTACTATTAAATCACTGGTTCTAACACTCATTTAGGACTTTAAAAAGACCTCATATCCTAGTCATAAATCTTGAGAACATCCTTTAAAGTTTTGAGTTTCAATAATCCACTCATCTCAGTTTAAAATTCTAAAACTCATTCCTGCTAAATGAGAAATGAGAAAATCAAAATGAAAAAATCATAACCTAAATACAATGCATGACTTTTCAATGACACAGAGTAATAAAATATGTATCTCAACATAAAAGTGGGACTCCCAACACTCAACCCATGTTCTTGCATCTTGAAAACCTATTAACTCTCAATTTGTTCTAACAATTGTATTCAAGTTTACTTACCAATAAGAAACTTCTTCCTTTCAAATGCCCCTCTGAATGAATCCTTGACCTCTTTGTTTCTCAGGCTATAGATGAGGGGGTCCAACATGGGAATCACTGATGTGTAGAACACTGAAACCACCTTATTGATGTCCAGGGAGAAACTAGAACTCGGACGTACATATATGAAGAAGAGTGTCCCATAAAGCATGGAGACAGCTGTCAGGTGTGAAGAGCAGGTGGAGAAGGCCTTGTGCCTCCCATCAGCTGAGTGGATCCTCAGGATAGCAATGACAATGTAAATGTAGGAGACCAGGATGATGGCGCCACTGAGTACTCCTAGAACTCCAGCCAAGATGAAAAGTAGAAATTGATTGACCTGAGTATCTGCACATGCTAGGGAGAGAACTGGAAGAAGGTCACAGAAGAAGTGATTGATGATTTGGGGGCCACAGTAAGGCAGATGAAAGGCAAAAGTCGTATGGGTTGTGGCAATTAAAAGACCCATGGTATACGGCCCTACCACCAGCTCCACACAGACTGGCTGGGACATAATGAGCGTATACAATAGTGGCTTACAGATGGCCATATATCGATCATATGCCATGGAAGCCAGGAGGAAACACTCAGTCACAAGAAACTGAAGAAAAAACCATAACTGGGCAGCACAACCACAGAAGGAGATTACCTTTTTCTCCACAAAGATGTCAGTCAACATCTTGGGACCAATGACAGAAGAGGAGCAGACATCCACAAACGACAAGTGGCTGAGAAAAAAGTACATGGGAGTGTGGAGTCGGGAGTCCATCCAAATGAGGGTGATCATTCCCAAGTTTCCAAGAAGACTGATGAGATAAATCAAGAGAAATACCACAAAGAGAACAACCTGGTGCTGGAAGTGATTTGTTAAACCCACGAAAAAAAACTCAATCACCAAAGTTTGATTTCCACAATCCATTTCTTTGATTTAATCTGTCATGAGAAAGAGAAAGAAGTTTCTTTGCAGTCTAATCGTAATTAAAGACCTCTTAATTTTAAATCTGTATTTAACTTTTATTTTTTTAAGTTAAATAGGATAGCCTGAGACTTAACTCTCCTGAGTTCTACCCCTGGCAGTCATGCTATCTATCTGAAAAATATTTGTGTGATCCTCAGCAGGCCACTATACCTCACAGGGCCCTTCACTTTCTTCCTTGGAAATGGGATTTTGGAATAGAATCATAGAATTTTAACCTAGAAGTTAACATTGGAGATTATCTAAGGCAAGTCTTCTAACTGCACCAGATTATATTTCTAAAAATATTTACCTTTGAACCAAGGATATTTTAAAAAGCACGTCATTGAAAAAGGCACTGTGATAATTCAATGAATTCAGACTAATACCTATTCTCACAGCAGATTAAGGGCAAACAGGTGTTAGGGATGTGACTTGCTTCTGATAACATTGGGTTCTATAGCAATAAGTAATTGAGCTGTCTAAGGAGTAAGTTCTGATATCTAAAGAAAGAGGGCAAGCGGAGACAAGAAAAGTTAGAAGTTAGCAAAATCCTCAACAGTATAACCTCTGTGACTCCTTTTCCAAAATGCCTATGTTCCCTCTTATCCATGGTGTATATTCTCATGTATTTCATTGAACTACATTGAAGTTTAAGTCCATCAAAGAATAGATCAGGTCTTAAATATTGAGTAAGTGTTGTGATTCATTTAGAGTTATTAGGTACTTATGAGAGAAATATAAATATTTTAAGGATGACAGGAGCACTCCTGGGCAATTATACCAGAAAAATGAATATTTATATGCACACGGAATCCTATATAATATCGTTAATAGAAGTTATTTTTAATGCAAAACGTTTAAAATAATCAAATGTCTTACCACAGGTGAATGGTTAAACAAACTGTGGTGTATCCACACTGTGAAATACTACTCAGTAATAAAGAAGAACAAAACATCATACATACAATGACTTGGATGTATCTAAGGGTATTCGGCTGAGTTAAAAAAAGTCTCAAAAGTTGACAACTCTATGATTCTGCTTATATAACACTCTCAAAATGGCAAAATTATAGATTGGAGAACAAGTGAGTGGTCCCTGGTAATTAGGAATGGTGGGAAGGAGGTCGTGTTGACTCTATAAAGGGGTAGCACAATGGAGATTTTTGTAGAGACTGAATAGCTCCGTCTACTGATTGAGGCATTAGTTAAACAAAGCTAAACATTAAAGAGAAGAATATGAACTTATCATCCAAATGTCAGTTTCCTGGATTTGATGTTATAGTATAGCTCCGTAAGACGTAACCATTGGGGAAAATGTGGTGAAGGATGTGTGGGGCTTCTAAGTATGATCTTTGAAGCTTCTTGTGAATCTTAATTTCAAAATGAAAAGTATTTTTAGGAAAAAAGTGAGTGAGAAGGGAGAGTAAAGGATAGTGAGAACAATGCGAAAGAAGCAGAAGCAGAAGCAGAAGCAGAGGAAGAGGAAGGAGAAGGTGAAGGAGAAGAAGAAGAAGGGGGAGGGAGGCATCCACTTTGGATCTTGAAATAATCATCCTGATTCCAGTAGCACAATCACACAAAAACGTGAATGGATGTGCCATAGAGAAGCATTGACTGAAATCCAACAACATTCTTTCCTGGAAAGAAAGCTTGAAAACAGTTTTACTTAACAGGACATTAGTGAAAAAGCCACTCACCTTCTACAGTCTCAGAGGCAATGGAGCTTGGAAAAAAAAGACAGAATGGTGAAATTTAAGATGAGTCAGAAAAAACTACACATTAGTAGTGAAATGTTTCAAGAATTTCATACTATCTAAACTCAGAAATACATTACAGATCATATATATTTGTATTATCTATTACTCAGGGAAGACGTAAACAAAGCATTTTATGTGTCATAAACTAAGGATATGAAAAAATTTTATAAGGGTTAAACTAGAATATAGACATCTATCATCTCAACTAACTGCCTCTGTAAACAAAAGTGATGAAGTATATCCATCAGTGATAATTATTATATATTTCAAATTTTGTATTCAACTTGAAAGGCTGTGTGAAAACAATAGTTTCTGACTATGGAAATACATATTACACTAATTTTCCCCAGCTGTACTCAAAACAAAGATTCTAATACAGAAAAATCATGATCTCAGGTATTGATGTGACTATGGGCATGAAAGGTATGACAATTTCAGTCAGTTCTTTTCTGCTTATACTATCCAATTTAGAAAAAGTGAAGAAATTTACCCACAGAAGCCAATGGTTCTTAATTGGAACATTCTCTGAGCCTATAAATCTCATAGTACAGCTCAGTATCTCTTTTCCAAATACAGAATTCCACCAAAATGTACATTGAAGTTGTGTCATTTAAACCAAAAGACACAGACTGAATATTATGTCTTCCAAATCATTCTTCATCATAATCTTAGAGATAATATTTTCCCAGGTTTCTAACTCATTTTCCATATCTGGCCTCCTAAAGGCAATTGAGGAAGTCACTTAACTCACCTGTCTGAAGAAATATTCCCTAGATTGTTTGCCTGCTTATGGCAAAGTGAATTGCAAAATTAATTTGCCCTGAATGAAAATGAATTACTCTGCAAATGATGACTTGTCATTCTTCTCATCTTCTTCTGATATCCAGAAAGATAAACAACATATTGTACCATCCTGAAACATATGCATTTCAATAGCAATTTCAAAAGGATTTCATTAACTCAATTCTGCATTCATACAGCAGAGGTTTTCCTAAAAGCCTGTTGTGTAAATTGGAGCTAACTCCCTCAAGGAACCAGAAGCTCAGGAGACCAGTCCCAAAGAGAAGATATTAAAGTTATTTTATGAGAAATAATTTGGAGACTTTGAGTCAAGTGTAATGCAAAAATAAATCTCTCTCTCCCTTTGGGATTACCCACACACAATTTGAAATACCAGTTTTTTTCAATTACTGCGTAATGAGCACCACTCCATAGCACTGTGCAGATTTGAGATTCTAAAACAGAGCCTGCTTCAGAGAGATTACAATCAGACAGGGAGCCTGGGTACAAAACTGCACTAGAGACTCAGTGATTTGCCCATGAGTTACTAGGAGAGAGGGATCATTGTAGCCAGTGTTGGAAATAGTCTCTTGGACATGATGAATCTCAAAGAGAGGCTAAGTTATAAGTTAGTAAAAATGACATGGACTGGAGTGTCTATGCTGCAATAGAGAGCTATAAATTTGGACAGCATCTTTGAGAGACAAAGGTAATCCACATTGATGGTTGAAAATTTCAAATTATAAGATTAGAAAAATAGATTTTGACCCAAACTTCATAAATATTTTAACATTAGGCAAAGGAGTCTGAACTTCTTTCTGTAACCAACAAGGAATCTTTCAAGGTATTTCAGAAAAGAGGTGACATTTATCCATATAAAAGTTGCCACAGGACATTAATCTAGTCACTGGAGATCTATACTATATATAGGCATTCTTCAAAGTGCTTTAAGAGTATTAACTCATTTAAGCTTCATAAGAGCACAATGAAATGGATTAATAGAAAGATCTGGATTCTTCTACCGCTCACCACCTCACTCAGTCCACTTTCTATTCTTGGAACAAGAAAAGCAGGATTCTACCTCAGAAGCTTTCTCTTTTCCTTTCTCATTTTCTCTTCATTTCTCATCTCTCTTCTCATCCAGTTTCTCTCTGTAGCCTGCTTTTTCTTCAAAGCAATTACCATTACCTAACATTGAATTAGTTTACCTCCTATGACTATGACAACTAGAAATAGCAAGCAATAAGGTATATTGGAGTATATAAGGAAGCCATTTGGTGTAAACATAGTTCGGCCTGACTTTGTTTTTCCAAAAGGGCCACACATGGTCATTGAGCATGCATTGTATATCTGCTTTAAACATTTACTATGGCAAGAACAAATGCCCTTAAGATAAAGGTACAACTTCCCACCACATTGGCATTTCCTTAAGGATAAGCATCTTTCCTTAGGCTAGGAACTGATTGCTGTGTTCACCTGTGACAACCCAGCTTGGGACAACAGAACTGCCACCCCGCTGTGTCCAGCAAGACAGCAGACCTACTACCTCCTGTGTCCATCAATTGCTGTGCTGACAGAGCAGTCTTGTGACTATTATAAAAGGGGCATTTCAATTATATGTGAAACATCCTCTATGGGGGTATATAACCACTCTGTACACCCCACTACTTTGGTGCCTCTTCTTCCTTCGGGAAGAAAAGCCCCGGGCCATGGTCCTCACATTTTAGTTCAGAATAAACTCACCAAAATTTTCACTTATGGATGGTTATGGATTATTTTCATCCACAACTATAAAAATGGGAATGCTTTTTGTTGTTTTTTCCACACTATATCCCTAGGTTTCAGAATAGTGCCTTGAAGAGTAAATGCTCAATGAATATTTTTAAACAAATGAATAAATGGACAAATAATTCTAAGAGTGTGGCTGTAGGTAGAAAAGCTAGGAGAGTAAGTTCTTTCAGGTGCTGAGTAATTAGAACTTTCTTCTAGAATGGAAAGGAATTAAGGGTATTTCTTTGCGAAAGAGTCATAGGAATATCAAACTTGAATGGACGGGATTTTATTCCTGGGATGTGAGAGAGATGAATTGAGGCAAGGGTGAATACTAAATGACAGATTGAGTGTCTGAGAAAATGTTCTTATATCTTCCTAGACCTCAGTTGGCTGGCTGCCCTTTGACTTCTGCTCTTACATACCCTCTGTAATTCATTTCCACCAAGGTCATAAGTGACCCGACGACTGAAACTTGGACTCACCACACAGATCATTGGGTTTTCCAGATACGAGTCGATTTCTATTACCATTTCTACTATAACTTTAGAGAACACATAAATTTCCTTTTTTTGTATTTGTACTTGGCTCCAATTATTCACTGCTAGTCTCGCCCTGAGAAATCTGGTTGTTCCAGGAAGGTAGAAACAGAGA